CTCAGCTCTGCTCAGGCGGGTGAAAGAAAGCGCTTTAATCAGTGGGGTGCATGCTGGGAGAGAGGAGAGAATGCTCAGGCTCAGCTCTGCTCAGGCGGGTGAAAGAAAGCGCTTTAATCAGTGGGGTGCATGCTGGGAGAGAGGAGAGAATGCTCAGGCTCAGCTCTGCTCAGGCGGGTGAAAGAAAGCGCTTTAATCAGTGGGGTGCATGCTGGGAGAGAGGAGAGATTGCTCCTCTCTCCTGGCCCGCTCCCCATTGACTAAAGCGCTTCATTCCGCCCGCCTGAGCTGTGCTTTCTTTTGCCCACAGCAGAGCTCAGGCGGGTGAAAGAAAGCGCTTTAATCAGTGGGGTGCATGCTGGGAGAGAGGAGAGATTGCTACTCTCTCCTGGCACGCACCCCATTGACTAAAGCGCTTCATTTCGCCCGCCTGAGCTGTGCTTTCTTTTGCCCACAGCAGAGCTCAGGCGGGTGAAAGGAAGCGCTTTAATCAGTGAGGTGCATGCCGGGAGAGAGGAGAGAATGCCCAGGCATTTTCTCCTCTCTCCCGGCACATACCCCACTGATTAAAGTGCTTTCTTTCGCCCACCTGAGCAGAGCTCAGCCTGAGCATTCTCTCCTCTCTCCTGGCATGCACCCCACTGATTAAAGTGCTTCCTTTTGCCTGCCTGAGCTCTGCTGCAGGCGAAAGAAAGCACTTTAATCAGTGGGGCGCCAGGGGAGAGGACTGCCGCACCAGCCATAAACTTCACCATACGTCACTGGTGTGTGTGTTCCTGTTTCTGTATTATATTGTTTTTGTGATTCTGTACTTCTAGATTCTAAATTTTGATTCTGGCTTCTGCTGTATGGTATTGTATATAAAGAAGTGTCTTATATAAATAAATCCTGCTGAATTATTTACTTGTGTAAATATAATTTACACAAACAATTATAAAGCAATAATTGGATTGCTGCAAACTATAACACTTAAGCACTTAAGTGCTAAAGTATACACATCAGTCTCCAAGATTAATGACAAGGCCTAGCAGTTTTTCGCTATCAAGTCTAGACTCTTGCAGAGTCTTATTAAACAGATTTAGGATTAGGTTACAGAATCATGGAAACTATAAACTTTAACACCCTATTAATCAATAAATCCATTAGGATGATGATTTTTGAGTTTTTGTTGCCTGCCTGTTGAAGGAGTGTGGAGGTGGCTATTTGCTCTGTTGATTCAGGAGGAATGTGCAGATGTTCCAGTTCTGTACTATTTGGCAAACCATCATGCTCTTTCCTAGACCCTGGGAACAGTTTTACAACAGTTCACTTTTATTTGCATTCTGCTCATCAAAAGGAAATACTTACCGATAAAACACAGTGTAGTCCACAGTTGAGTGGCAAATCTGAAAATCCCATGCTTTGAGCTTTTGGCATTCCCGATGAACACGGAGTTTTATTCTCACAGTTCCTTGGCACAATTCAGGAAATTGCTTCCTTGGAGGACGAGTACAGAATTCATTTGATTCCACACGCCAGGACTCAGCAAAGTCATCCACATCAAACTTAAAATGACCATCACCACCAATCAGATCATCTCTCTTATGTCCATTATAGTTGCCACACAGACCACAAAGCCGACCTTTAAGATGCGGGGCAGCCATAACTTCAACAAAACTGTCTCCATCCCAAGAGATTTCTAGTCCTAATGAAAAAGGCAAAGAAAGAAGGATTTTAACAGCATATTTTGATCACGTTTCCTACTATTTGAGTCTGATTACTACTCCATTTGATCTCTCCATTTGGTGGTAGAAGTTTTTCAGATCTCTTAGCAAAGATACTTCCCCATCCTAATACTTCAACTCCTTGACTAGAAATGCCTAGTTTTATACTCCATTTCTGAGCTATGGCCCATGATACATAATGGAAATGAGATGACAGAGTGGAAAGCAGGGGCCCAAAGAAAACTGTTTCTAGCAAAGAGTTATCTAGCACTGTTCTTCTCCCCTTGGTATTCAGTTGCTTGATCTAATGAGTTACAAGTAGGACTTCACCTATAACTGAATCTTCTACCTCCTGTAAAAAAAATGATACAGTAGAATGGATTGAACTAATTTGAACCACAAATAGTAAGATATCAGCTTAGAATTTCTGAAATTAAAACATTAAAAGGGAGGTTTATTTAAAAGTATTATTAACAGGTTAAAACAAATGCAATGGAAGTTATACAATTTTTAATAGCGGAGTGATAATATTAGGGACTACTTCCAATAGATGTGCCAAAAGTATTCAGGAAATTATATGAAAATTTTGATTTATTTTAAAAAACCACCATGAACAAAAGCTTTACCAACTTAGTTAACAAATACAATACAAACGCAGAGCTTGATAAAAACTGATAAAAGAAGTGGGCTGATCCCAATCCTTCTTAGCAAAAGATTAAAACATAAGCAGATACACCTTATTACTTAAGTTATCAATAACTTGACAATAGGAGATCCCAGATCAGTTATGTATAAGGTGACCAGATTTTCAGATTGGTAAAGAGGGACACCATTGACCAGGGGGGTGGGGGCTTGATTAAAAATTTAATTTTTTGTCAAAAGGTCACCCCAGGACACTGAAACCA